TTAGGAGATTTTGCTCCGGGCATGTGGTGCATTCATGGCTTGTTGCAGCGAGTTTGCCAAGAGATTTCCAGCCGATTTGGCGATTTCGTCAAATCTGCAGAGAAATCAATCCTGAAGGGGTCTCTAGGCCGAATCAGTCAAGAGGCGTCAAGTTTGTGGTGGAATGTTTGCAGTAGGGTTCGTTTGGTGCTGCAGCCCAGGTTCATGCTGAAGCATGCTGATGGTGAACTCACCAGCATGTTGGAAGAGTCTTCGCCGCCAGTGGATCTGAGCCGTGTGGCTATTTTTCGGGTGGCTGCCCGCAAGTACGAGAAGCAGGTGGGGATAAAGCTGCTGCCCTAGGAGTCAACATGTTTTGATCGAGTTTGGCGGCAGCCAATGAATGGGAGATACTAATCATAGCCACTGGTCTGTCAGGTGGAAGAGGAGCATGAACAAGCAGCTGAAGAGTTACTAGTCGTCTCAATCAGTTTGTGAGCTGCAATGGCCATGGATTTCATGCGCCTCGTCTTTCAATGATCGTCATGTCATTTTTATTTAAACCGGCCCGGTTTCAGGCTTGCTGCCCAGATGGCGGTGGCTGGCCAGAAGAAAATTGAGAAGCAAATCGAGAGTGATTTCGACGCAATGAGGAAGTATTTGCAGCGAGCGCAGGACCATGCAAATCGGCAGGTTTCTTTGCTGTAAGACCTTTAGCTCCTAGATTTGCCAGCAGTCGGTGTCTGTCTTTTTGAATTTTGCCAAGGTTTAATTTGAACTTCTTAAAGTAGTCAATCAAACGTTTGATTCAATTTGGGCTGAGGGATCGATGGACATCAAGTACCTGTCCAAAAGGTATGAGCGAGGGAAGGAATGGGTGGAAGCTTTCTTCCTCACCCATCACCGCTACGTGGAGACCCCGTCTGGCTTGAGTGACTGTCACTCACTTCTAGCAAGGTTCCAAAGCCTAGAAGAGGGTCCGCGCAACCCGACCCCGTTGCATTGCTGCAAGAGACAGCGTCCACGCTGATAGTGAGCTAAATGCATGTTATGGAACCCAGACCCAATGGATTCAATCATAATATTCAATCGTATTAAATGTTTCCGCGTGGTTCTTTCTGCGAGCACCTTTATCACGTCAAACCTTTTGGACTTTGCCACTGGCTGGCTTTAAAATCCGATCTCGTTGTGAAAAAACTTAGCCGCCGCCCCGTTTATTGAATGTGGACACCCACCCACCTCCGAGTTTGAGCTTTGGTGGGATGCCCCAGCCCAGCTACTGTCTGTTTAGTACTACTTGGACCAGTGGCATTAGCGTGCGAACAGATGCTGCTGTTAGCAGTTCTGCCTTGCGAGTGCAAAGCAGCAGCATTTTTCCTCACAAGTTGTGTGTGCTTTGCGGCAAGCAGCAAGCAGCAGCATTTTTTCTGACATTCAAAGTTTGTGTCGAAGCAAAAAAAGATTATTTGTCTATTAGTGGTACAATAAGCTAAATCAATCCGACCCGACACGCGTAATTGCAAGAATCCATGGGGTCTTGGTTCTGATAGTAGGTCAGCGTACTTAATGGATGGTTTTGCTTGACATCAGCATCAGGGTGAGGGTCGGTCTTTGATCTGGGGGACCGGGTCGAGCCTTCAGCCCATTGAGGTTCACACTCATGATCATGGACATTAGTTTATGGCCGTCGCGCTGCTTGGATCCGAATAATGATGATTCCTCTGACTCTGCCACTTTAATCAGTGCAGACATGTAATGTGCAAATTAGTCAATGTCTACATAATGAGAATTGGACCCGCTTCAGGTGGGTTGCTTGTGGATGAAGCTGCTGATGCCTCCAAGTCGGTTTCGAATTCGAACAACAATGCTGCCCTCTTTGCCTTGATGCCGCAGTATCATTCTTCGACTGATTGGACCTCCATCGTTACCCACCGACGGGCCATCGAGGACAAGTTGATGGGGAGTCTTGGCATTACTAGCTTGGGCTCGACAGCCTTGTGCTGCCCTTTGTTGTGTTGATGGGAGACAGCTTGGAGTCAATGTTAATATTGCATTGCAGAGTCAGGACATTCGACCTGAATGAAGCAACGCTTTCATTCAGAGACTCTGGCCATGGCGGAGACAAGAGGAAACGCTGCCAGCCGTGCTCCTTGAATTTAGCCAGCTGCAATTGTTTGCGGGCTGCAAGCTGTTCGAAATAACTACATACCCATAATAAATTGAATCGTTTCGTCTGAGGCTACTTGGCTATTTCAAGCCTTCACAAAGCGAACTATGGCTTTTCGCGCAGCACTGCGCTGCTGGGCACTGTGGGTCCTGTGTCCCGGGCGCGTGTCATGGATCTTATCAGTGAAGATCCGGAGAAGCAGCCGTCAGCTCCACAAAGAGTTCCTTGTCTCACAGCATGTTTTTAAACTTCTTCATAATGCATGCAGGTTGAATCACAATCATTATGTTTGATTGCGGTCGTGGTCTTGCTTCCTCTTGAACTTCTCAGGTCCAGCAAAGGGGCGTCGACGGGACCACTCAAATACTTGTCAGCTTGATTGACAAGTTGGAAGTTCCGGACAACAAAGTGTACGTTGTAGATTTGACCATCAACCGGTTCTTGTGCTGCAGAAAGTTTGTTCAGACCGTTTTTTGAATCAATCAGAGAACTTTTTTTTTACATCATGATCTGATGTCAGGTCGAACGAATGGGGGCGTGCAGTTTGGGGCTTGCAGAAAAAGCACTTGGAGTCAGGCCAGGGTGTGGATTGGCGCTACATTGCGTTCCATGATCCACAAGATGACGACGTGCACTTGACTTGCGATGCCCACCGCAAGTATATGGAGGGTCTCATGCTGCAGGTGAGTGCCTCAAATTTAAAATAATTGCAATCACTGTCACTGTGAAGTCTAAGACTGAATGCCATTACAATACCTGTGCTATCCTCAGTTTTTTCGTTATTTAACAGCTCAGTCAGGAGTACTGGGACAAGTGCGCTGCGGCTGGACCAGCTGTCCGGCCAAGTGAGAAGTTCAACGAGGCCAAGCCATCCCTGAAAGTGCTCTCTGTCAATGAGACGACGCTGAAGCTTCCTGAAATTTAATTCAGAAGCTGATGGCCGTTTTACTTTTGCCAGGCATTGATTTTGAAAATCATTTGATTGGTAGTCGGCAGTCGCAGCAGCCCCAGGTTGCCACCATCTGTTCGGGGTCAACTTGGAGTTACGAAGGGAGAGGAGGTGGAAAAGTTAGTTTCTGACTTCAACGAAGAGAACAACGTCAATTTGCTTGCAGACTCTGCAGTCGCGGTGGGCCCAGCTATTTTGAAAGATTTAGGAGCCGCCCAGCCCGCTGCTCATTTTGACTTTTCTGCGAAACTTTCTGAACTGATTTTTGCCCTGTCATCCTTCGGCAGGAGTGAAGCCTAAAGCCAGGACCCAGTGCCGACCAGTCTTCAACCCACCGGATGATGCACCGATCAATGGACTGGCAACATTGGACCCGAAAGAAACCTTGAACTTGGACGAATTTGAGACCAAAAAAACGTGTCTTTCAAGCATTCTTCGAATCGTTTGTTCTGACAGTCAGCCAGTCTCAGACAATCTTGTGAGTACTTCAAAGTAAAGCTGGGTTTGGATGCAGCACTGTAGTCACTGGCACTGTAGTCACTGTCTTCATTCAAGGCAGAAAGCCAAAACCTCTGTCGTCAACAATGAGACGGTCAAGATTGCCCTTGATTCCGCTGGAGAGCTGTGGCTTCTGAACGCCAGCAATGACAATGTCACGCTGGGCCCTTGCGAACTGTTTGGCTTCAACGTCGGAAGTTTTCAGGAGAAAAAGACAGGCTGGCAGGGAGAGCCGAGTTTAGGTCAAGCATTCCACTGGCTGCCTGGTAGTGAGCTGTCAGGTTCTCAATTCGCAATTAAATACTATTATTATTACAGATTCTTCATTCATTGGACACATAATACGCTTTTACTGACAGGCCTGGCGAAGTCTGCAAAAGACAAGTCCATAGCCTTTCTGCTGGAGAAGGACACTGATTTGCTGGTGCAAGTGTCCGGGCAGTCAAAGAAGCTCTCTTGCTTGGCAGACTTGGCGTGCCAAGCTGCCCAGAACAGCGGTGTGACAGAGATGTCCCTGGAAGATCACACTGTGACACAGGTGGTCAAGGACCGACTGTAACTGTGATATGCCAGAGGCCAGAAAACATGAATCTGACTGTTGTTTTGATCCGGCATCATCATAGGACGATGAGCCAGTCCCGTTCCGGTACAATGTGGCAGCAAACCCTCGGGTGAGCGTTTTTGAGCCGAAGCCAATCCCTCCTTCCTGCGACATGCTTGACATCCGCCCCACTATGTTTGGAGCTTGCTTTTTGGCTGTGCCGGGTGGATTTAGCAAGCTTCCTCAGTCCCGTGTTGCCTCTCAAGTCTGGGAAGTTCCTTGGCTGTGATGTTAGTGCAAACGGCTTTGAAATTGAATCTCATGGCGATGATTTTAAGGTTTGAACATTGATTGCTCTTAAGAGACGATGTCCCCAGGTCCTGGTTGAGCATACTTTGATTCGAAGCGTGAAGCCGAAATGTTGGCTTACTTGTCGGTTGACAGTCCCGGCAAATTCGGGAGTCCTGATCGCCTGATCATGCAGTCAGTCAGAAAGATTTTGACTGCAGCAGCGGCGTTTCAGCGTAAGCAGCTGGATGCAGTCAACGTTTGGATTTAATTTAGCGACCAGTTAGCACCATTGAATTTTCACAGCAGGAGCTGGAGTGTCACTGTCCAGTTGCTGGCTAAGCCCAATGAATGGCAAGCATTGATGTCGCTCTGTGCCATTTTGGCGTCAACTTCTTCCGACGACTCCGCAGGTAGGATTAAAGAGAATTCTTTTAAAAGCAACACCTAATCAATTTCATGGTAAGACATGATGGTAAGACCACCACGCAGGAGCTCATTCACTGCAGCATTGAAATTGGAAATTATTTTTTGCGCTGGCCTGCCAGGTGATTTGCCACATCAAGTTAGTAGCAGCCATGCCAGTGGGCAGTAAGGTTACCGATTTATCGGATGATGATGACAATGGGCCTTTAGTGCCTGTGGCTTCGCCTTCTGCTTCTTCGACAGCAGCAGTTGGTTCCACGCCTGCTGTGGAGCGGACGGATGCTGATGCTGCGAGGCCTTCAATCAAGAAGCCAGCGGCTGCTGTAAAGCCGACCCCAGGCTCTGCAAAGAAGCGTCCCGCTGCTGCTGCTGCACTTTTTGGAGCAGAGCAGTCGGAGACCGATGCCGAGGAGACCCATGAACCAGCTCCAATAGTCCTGCCCAAACCTGAGAAGAAAGCGAAGGCAAAGTCGGGTCCCAAGTCCAAGCCTAAGGCGGGACGGAAGGAGGCGACTGCTGCTGAAGCAGTTCCAGACCCAGTGTCTGAAGCCGAGCCAATGGTTGGAAAGAGACCGGCTAGCAGAATGAAGCGGCCCGCGGCAAGTGGCAAGGTTGTTGACAACTTGGGCACAGTGCCGGAATCTGACGTGATCAACCTCAAGGCTGAGAAGTACATGTACCATGGCGAGAAGAAGTGGGGCATCAGACGCACCAACCGTCGGACCAAGGAGCGCAATGAGCTGGTGACGGCGGGGTGCCACAGTTATCATGAGTCATTGTTTAGCCTTTAAGAGACAGTGCCATTGCGTCGATTGCTATGTTTGTCATAGTGCGGCTTTAAACAGTAACAGTTACAATAGAATTCACTTTGTCCTTCATTCTCGTCAGATCAAAGATGCTGATGGGAAACTTGAACCGCAGAAGCTCATGGATATGGCGGACCTGTGCTAAGTTCTTCAAGCCGTGTCAAGTTGTCAGTCTGACTCAGTCCGACCGTTTTTTGGCAATTTAATTCAGTTTAACTCGGCAATTTCAATGAGGAAATCTTACGGACCGAAGCTGAAAAGGGCAAAAGCAAAGCGGATCTGAAAGATTTGGCAGTAGATAGCTCAGGGCTTGTGACTCTGTTTGGGAATCTTCAGCGACTGCTTACTAACCAACAATTAAATTAACGAAATTTATCGTCATGACCATCAGTCAGTCACTGAGGCTTCTTTGCTGACGGAGGGAGGGTCGGGCCGTTCTGCAGCTGCTGCTGCAGCAGCAGATGAGGGTGCAGGCGCTGAGATGGACGCTGCAGCAGATGCAGAGCAGAATGAAGAGGAAGTGCCGAAGGAAGAGGATGAAAGTGTTACTGTTCCGGATGTCGACTGACATGATTGACTGATAGCCAGCTTGTGTGGCAAAAAATGAAAGCAGAGCGCGATCTGATTCAGAGTCAAGAGATTAGGGCCGGGGCGAACTTTTGGGTGTCAGGGGCCAGGCACATGATTTTTTCAAACGTTGTCACTTTGAATAGGGTTATTAGTAACCGCACTGGAATTTTTATTTTTTTTCGTAGCCCTATAATAACTAAACTCTGCAAGAATTGAGTCGATGGAGATTAAATACTACTACTTGCCATCATCATAAAAAAAAAGACGAGTACTTTTTGGCTCAAGGTTCTGTCTGGTCGGTGACTTGAATGCCGCTTTCAATGAACTATTATTTGGCTCAAGTGATTGGTAAGTGGATGGCATGAGCTGGCTCTTGGCCTTCAAGAGGCAGTGAGAGTGAGACTGACTGAGGCTGGTGTCTCTCCAGCACCTGGCATTGGGCTTTGTCAGTCAGTGTGTGTGTGTGTGTCTCTCTCTCTCTCTCCAAGTGAATGGCTCTGTCAAGAGCATTGGCCCTGAGCCAACATTGACTTCATCATGATATAATGATGATGAGCTTAAGACTTGACGACCTCCAAACGGACCAACAAAAGGCACATAAGAAAAGCCAACCCCAGATCCGGAACCCAACCCCGATTAGGGAGAAAAAATCTTCTATCTCCCTGACGTCCATGCAGGAAAAGTTTGCCCGCCTTTTCATGTCAATTGCGTCAGAATTGTGGCTTCGGGGGGCGATTGATACTGTTGAGGAGGTATTTGCACATGCTGCCCGTAGTTTCACGCTCCGACTGGCTGAAACACTTTCACGGTACATATGCTCGCTCACTCGAAGAGCAGAGTCTCTGGCTACTCCAGAAACGGAATGCCTGCTATATGCCACCTATTGGTTTCGTCCAATTTTGTCCGAGCTAGTTGGGGCAGCCAAAGAGAGTGCAGAAGTGAACCGAAAACGTGCCCCCAGTGGCCCTGTGAAAGTTGTCGTCACAAATCAGCCCCACTCTCGTCGTCACACGGGGGTCGACGTGGTCAGCGGGGCATCGGCCTTACTGGCGTGGTTTCCGGCTAGCTGGGCCAGCAAGATTGCACCGTGTTTTCTTGGAGAAGCAGTTGGTGCCATCCAAGCCCCGCTAGAGGTTTCCTTCTCCTGCCCCCATCGAGTTTGTGAGGGGCTGCAACGAGAAGCGGTGGATCAAGTACTGCAGGCAGTTAAATTCACTGACAAAAACGCTCCAGGATTGAGTCTGGCCTTGGACGAGGAATTCCAAGCAGCTGATTGCTTTTCGGAACTCATCCGAGGGTACACAATGGGTGTTGTAGAGCCCTACATTATGATGGGCCTGCACCCCACTGGACCCACGAGAGTCAACCTGGAAGTGATTGTACCATCCTCCAAAGGACTTACTCCTGCAATGTGGAAGCAGACTGCTACCCTGTGTTCACTTGAGTGGCCGTCCAATTACAGCCTCCTGAGGTTGTGGCACACGCCCAAAAGTTTCCACCAGTACGCTGCCCAACTCAAGCAGCAAGTACAGCATCGCCATATGTTCACACACTGGGAGGTCAACCGCGGGAGGTTAGCAGGCAGGGTGCTTTTTCTACGACCAGCCCACTACGTGCCAGAAACGATTCTGCAACAACACGTGCGAGAGCGGACATTCCCTGATCGGAGACTACGCAAAAGAGCGCCAGAGACTGACGTAGATGGATTTCAGGCGAAATGCAATGAGTTAAAGCTTCTGGCTGCAAGGGCAGAAAGTGCGAATCCTGTCTCCTTTGCGATTGGGAACAGCTGGAATGATACCCTCCGAGCAGACAAGCAACACCACCTTGAATACACTACACGAAGTCAGACATAGCTTCTTTCCTTTCTTTCCCCGCTGGGTTTCTGTTTGGGGTCGCTTGTTTTTCTCCTTTCTCTTGGTCCATTGGCTGCTGCATCCCTTCCTCTTGGCTCCCCCCTTTTTTTAGGCCTTTGGTCGGGGCCTATTTTGCTACGTTAGGGACTTATCACCTGCTCCTCCTCCCCTGCATGCCCCTCATAGTTCGATCATCTGAACCTTGTAGTCACCGTTGTGTATCTGTCCATAGACGTGACAGGTGCACTGGTGTCTCATCCCCCTAATTCAGGTGTGTTCTGATGTCCTTTGTACGTGTGTGTATGTCCATAGACGTGACAGGTGCACTCGTACCTTTTTGCAGCTCTTTGGTCACTCCTGTATTTCATGTGCACGCTCTCCCCCTTGTGCTCCTGTTATTTTGACTCAACACCCTGTCTTAGTTGCATGCCACATTGCATCTGCCGTCCGTCGCCCTCTCTGTGGTTTTTTGCGGTCCTCTTGGTGCCTTGTTTGGCTGGGCTCTTTGCCTCGTCTTGGCTCTTCTTCTGTCGGTGCGTCTCTTCGTTTCCTTGGTTGTCTGTTGTGCTCCTTTTCGTTTGCGGGTGTGCCCCCTTGTTTTCGTCTTGCGTTTTGCCTCTTTGGCCTGTCTCTCTGTCTCTTGTTGCCCTCCCTCCCCCTGCGGTCGGTCCCGTTTGGTGCACTGGTCCAGCTTCTTGCTGGTCCCTCCCTCTAGGTATCTGGTTGCAGTTGTGACGGCCTGGTTGCCCTGCCTTTGTGCTGGGTGTGTGGTTGTGCTCTGTCATCCCTCCGTCTTATGTCTCATGGCAACAAAGGCTCATCAGCCCTGTGTGGGGTTCTTCGCCCTCTACACCATGTTGCAGATGATGTCAGGAAGCTTAGTGTGGCCACACTGAGGTATTCATCCTACGATGATCCAGTCCCCACTCTGGACCCCGCTAAGCTGCCTTATTGCTATTCTAATGTGATTGGTGCAGCCTTCTCTACCCTGTCCTCCCCTGCCGCCCCGGCACCCCTCTCCCTGTTGTTTGTTGCTTGGTCTGTGTGTCTGGTCCTGCTCCTGTTCAGGCGCCCTGAGCCGTTTTGTGGTCATGGCAGGACGGTTACTTCTCCTACGATTGTGCTATCCTCCCGTGCCCCCACTCAGGTACGAACGAATGGAGCTTAGAGCTGAGTGTTGGAGCATCACTGACCTGTTAGACCTATTTTGTTGGACCAAGGTACTGAGGGGAAATCATCGACACAGCCTTCCTGCGATCCACTAAGGTGCCCCAAGACGGCTAATTAGTTTTCGTGCCCTTTGGCCTGCCCTTTTGCCTTGCCTTCTTACTTTTTGGGCCTCTTTTTGCGCTTTTGCGGGGCTTTTGCTTCCTTGGTTTTGAATTCGGTTTTCTCTTTTGGGTCTCTGTGGGATGTCCTCTGTTCGGGTACACTACATGTATAGCTACACTTACCCGAGAGGGGCGGTAGATAGCCGGCCGATGCCATGGACCAGACTGTCCTGCAGTGGGCTCCACCGGTGCTTTCCGGTGGTGCTCCCTGTAGGCCATCCTGGAGCGCCCGTGAGCAGCACAAGACTGCCCATATGGTTCGTCAATCAGCAGATGGAATGTGATGATTCTGCAGTCTGCCTATTCTATGGGAGAGTGGCATTTTGGACCTGATCTCGCTACATTCTGCTTCTGCGCATACTGCAATGCACTGCAGGTCTTTCAGGGACGATGACATCCTGAAATGTCCTGAACAGTTCTGTAGTTTTTGGTTTTGCGAACCTGCACCAAGGAGAGCTACACTGCCCAAAGACAGCAACGGTATTGTGGAACTCTGCATTCAAATTTGCGAATACAATGGTTTGTTTTGCACTTTTCTCTGCTTTGCAAATACTGCGTTGGTACTGCGCTGGCTGAGACCACTCAAGCTGATGGCTGCAATCTCCCCTATGAAACTAGGGGCATGCTGGATTGGTGATGGTATTTTTGAAGCTTTTCCCTGGCCTGTATTGCTTCACGCACGCCATCACTGTCCACCCCCCCTTGGGGGGGGTTTCTGGCTTTTTCCTTTCACGGCTTCGAGGCTACGGTTGACGGATATGGTAACGACTCTGTCCATGGAGGTCTGACGAGCTGATCTGAGAGAACGCTGTCTGACGAGCTGATCTGAGAGAACGCTGAGAGAGTTTTAATTGTAGCCCTGCCTTTTTGTACAGCTTGGCACATGCCTGAAGGTAATATACCAGCTCTTGCCTCCATGTTTGCGTGAAGCCGTGATATTAATTCATTTAGCAAGCTTTTGCGAATGATGCAGTGGAAACCACTGCATCTTGTGGCAAATCGATTACGTGATTGTTTTGGTTGGGCTCTGGCCCCGTTCTGTGTTTTTGTTTGGTTTTGCTGTTGCTTTGCTTCTCCGCTGGCGAAACGCAAGTCTGGCTGGGGGATTTGCGGGTCGTCGCTTTTGTTTGTTGTTTTTTGTTTGTTTGTTGTGGTGGTTTGATCGATTTGCCTAATCCAATGGACTGATGTCCCTGTACAAATTTCTTTTTATGCTTACGCTCATATAAGGACCGAGCCTTAGTGCGACATCGGCCAGACTCGAGGAAAAAAAACATTTTTGGCAGTGTGGAACCTTGCAACCTGTTCGAAACACGAAGCTCTTTAATACATTACGCAAGTAAAGCAAAGTTGGGTTTTGTTCAAGCAGCAAGCTTTCAACGCAGCCCTGCACAATAATCTCAATTCATCTTTTGCTGCAATCGGATGTTTGTAACGACCTGGCGGAAGCCATGAAGGCGTTGGACGGAAAAAAAAGCAGCAAGCTTTCAACGCAACTGGGGAGGACCACTTCTTGGAGTCCAAAAAGCCAATGTGTTTACGGCCCCGAAAATGAGGTTGCTGCAGTGACCTTTTTTTGCGAAAAATGGCGCAGCTTTACCAAAAAGCAATACTTGTGCAAGTGTAACGGGATGGCAGGATTCCGGGGAACACGGTTGCTGATTGAAGGTCTCTAGCCCCGCCTGCATGTCGCCAGTCTTTGCCAAAGCACCATGTTGTTTGGAATTGTTTGGGTGTTGTTGTCGCAGGCTTTCGCAACATGGCGTGGGTGAGGTGCTCATTCCGCTGCGACATTGTTGGCGGGATGCTTT